CAAAGGCAGTCCAATAGAAAAGTCTACAGTAGATATGAATCAACAATCCACTGAAGATAAAATGTAAATGCCCTATAAAAAAGATGTTGAACCTCACAAGTAATCAGGGAAATTCAAATTAAAACAATCAGATTGGCAAGCACTGCAAAGATTGCTCACATCCAGGGTTGGCAAGTGTCAAGAGAAAGACATTCTCACAGGGTATGAGCATCTGCCAGTCAACTTGGGCAGAGGCGGGGGCAGCTGGCAGGAGGGGGGCTGAAGAAGTGGCTTCCACATTGCAAGCAGGATGAGACTCCCGGGGTGGTAAAGGGCCACAGCATAATGACTCCGTGTAAATTAGAACCTTCTTTGCTTCATTGAGAGGCAAGAGAGCAAACAGGAAGTCCTATCAGAAGGCACCTGTCCCAATGGACAAAAAGCGTGCAGAAAAAAGAAAAAGAAAAAACAGAAGGTGTTCTTTGGTGATTTGTAAGTAGGAACCACTCAGGCCCCAGTGAGGGTTTTTGCTGCTAAACTGTCCAGAAGCCCTCAGCCGCAGCCTGGTCCTCAGGGCCGCAGCACAGAGGAGGCTGCTCAGGGGCAGAGATCTATGTGTGCGAGCACCAGCCACCAGCAGGATGACACGGCTTCTGTGAGTGAAGGAGCAGGCTGGGAGAGGTGAGGGGATCTCCCAGAGATAAGTGGAGGATTTGAGACTCTAATGCAAATCTTTCTCCCACTGCAGGGAGTCAGGAGGCCTGAATTGACTTGTCACCTGAAAACAGACCTGTGTTGTCTGGAGTCAGCCTTCTCTTTGGCCAGGGATGTCTGACACAAATTGTTCACTTCCTACATGGCAGGCACTGTGCCCAGCCTTTCACATGCGTTAATTTCATTTTATTTTCACAATGGGCCTAGGAGGCAGGCAGTGCTGTTCACAACCAGAAAGGGAAACTGAGGCTCAGAGAGGTTAAGTAACAGAGGCCCACAATTGGTAAATGGTGAAGCCAGTTAGACTGTCCTGCTAGCACAGACATATTTAAACTGCTCGGGGATTCACCCAGGGCTTTCAGTGCTTGAGTTCACATATGGGGGCAGGATGTCTGGAGGTTCAAAGGTACTTGATGTCTGCAAAGATCAATTGACATTGACCTCAGTGGCATAGGCTTGAGCCACACAGGAACAAAATATGAATTAAGGTGAAACTTTTTAAAGGTGATGGAGTCCACAAACTACCTGTGTGCAGTCAGCCATGTCACTTAACCCATTATTGGTTATGGGAATCTGTTGTCACACTGGACTCAAAAAAGGCCTTTCTGCTTCTCTGATCTACCTTTGAAACTCTGCCAGACACTGAGTGTGTGAAAAGATGCTCAACCTCATTCATAAAAGAAGAAAAAATAGATGCAAGTAAGTTTCTCCTGATTTCCTTACCAAGACTAAAAAGAACAATATCTGGTTCAGAATGTTCAGAAAGGCTCGGCTCCTGCAGCTCAGTGAGTAGGGCACCGGCCACATACACCGAAGCTGGCGGGTTCGAGCCTGGCCCAGGCCTGCTAAACAACAACGACAACTGCAACCAAAATATAGCCAGGCATTGTGGCAGGCACCTGTAGTCCCAGCTACTTAGGAAGCTGAGGCAGGAGAATTGCTTAAACCCAAGAGTTTAAGGTTGCTGTGAGCTGTGACGCCACAGCACTCTATGAAGGGTAACAGAGTGAGACTCTGTCTCAAAAAAAAGAATGTCAAGAAAATTGGGAAACAAGTTCATACCCACTTGTAAATAAACACAATGGTTTTCCTGGAAAACCATCTCCCAGGATACGTCTCAAAACTTTAAATGTGTAAACTTTTACATTCTATGGTTCCTATTCTGCAAATTTATCATAAGGGTAAGTCCAGAAAGATACATGCCCCGGAACACGGCAGTATAATGTATAATAGCAACCAAAGGAGAAAAAGAAACAACCTAAAATTCCATTACCAGGAGGCCAGGTAACAAAAGTGCCGTTCAGTCATAAAATGAAATGTCACACAGTCTTTAAGGAAGTTACTGTAGAGCTCTGTGTATTTCCAGGGAAAGATGTTATAAAGTAAGAAGGGTCATTTGCAAAATAGTACGTATCATATAAAACAATTCATGTGTATAAGCTCAATTAGGTACAAGAATTAGATTATATATCTATATATAATATACATGTATGTAAATAAATATTTATGAAGCCCAAAACTCTGCTCACAATTCTTGTGGCTGGGGTGGTAATGGTAGATGGAGTTCACTTCCTATTTTTTGCTTTTTTTTTTTTTTGCAGTTTTGGCCGGGGCCAGGCTTGAACCCGCCACCCCTGGGATACAGGGCCGGCACCCTACTCCCTTGAGCCACAGGCGCTGCCCATGTTTTTTGCATTTTTTTATAGCAATCGTGAAACAAGAGAACATATATTTTGACTGGGGAGCAGGAGGAGGGGAATCCTGACAGAGTCATTTTGCTCAGAGTGGGTCCTCCCAAGGCCAACACTATATGGTTTTGAAGATTCCGTTCACATCAGCAGTGAACTCTGTGGCCGATTCACTTTGTGGGAAATCTGTTTGATGGCCACATGGACTCTATTTAACCCCACCCAGACCTTTTGGATCAGCATTTAGTGCATCATACTGTGGTAGACCAGTCCTCTGTCTTCCTCCTGGGCCATCCTGTGTACCTCCCAAGAGCCGGGAGAGCATCTTACTCATCCTCGTACCCTCATCCCACCGTGGACTTCACCCCCACAGAGGCAGGGAGCATTTCATACTCATCAAGCTTTCCTTGCTTGAGCAGCTACAGTGGGGCAGCCCTGAGCTGGTGCTGGGGACACCCGAGCCTTGTATTCTGAATGCAGCAGTCCCCTTGGAATTTGTCGAACAAATAAATGACTCATGAGAAAGTGACCAGTGACCGTGAGTTGAGCAGAGCGAGAGGGTTGGCGGACCTGAACTGGTGACTCTGAACTGAAACGCTAGCACGCTGGTCTAGAGTGGACAGACAAGCTGTCCCAAGGAAGTGGTTTTCACAGAGAAAAAAAAAAGTTGGCAATGGTATTTCTTCTCAATAAACAATAGGGATAACAATAATATTATTACACTCATTTTATAAGTTCAATGTAAAGCATTTCCTGATCATACAATCAGTATGATTTTGATTGACAAAAGATATTTGGGATCTAACATACTTGAGCGTATGTGATGTTTTTACTAGTTTGTCAATACTTAATACTAAAAAAGTAGAATAAAAATTAAATTCAAATGAAGTGGTGGCAAAACCCTGATTAAAAACTGCTGTTCTGGAAGTAAGAGTGTGGTTTTGTTTATTTTGTTTTAAACTCTCTTAAGTATTATCTATCTGTTCATTCAACCAATGACTATTGAGCATGTTCAATGGGGCAGGCGCTCTTATAGTGAATTCAATATTAACAGCCTTGGCTCGGTGCCTGTGGCTCAAGAGGAGACTCGCTTGAGCCCAGGAGTTGGAGGTTGCTGTGAGCTGTGAAGCCACGGCACTCTACCCAGGGGGGATAGCTTGAGGCTCTGTCTCAAAAAAATACATATATATCCCAGCTACTTGGGAGGCTGAGGCAGGAGACTCGCTTGAGCCCAGGAGTTGGAGGTTGCTGTGAGCTGTGAAGCCACGGCACTCTACCCAGGGGGGATAGCTTGAGGCTCTGTCTCAAAAAAATACATATATATATATTAACAGCCTTGGGGACCACAAAGCACCAAGAGATTAAGGGAGGGTGAGGGTGGGGTCATGATAGATAGACTGATAGATAGATGGATGGTAGGGAGAGACAGAGAGAGAGAGGCTGAATAATGCACCTCCCAAGATGTCCACATTCTAACCCCAGCATTTGTGAATATATGTTATCTTATAAGGTAAAAGGGACTTCATAGATGCAACTAAGCTAAAGACCTTGAGATGGGGGGATGATCTTGGACAAGTGGGGGATGTACACTGTAGTCATGTATCTTTGTATTTATGAGGGAAATAGGAAGCCTGGGCAACATAGTGAGACCCCCATCTCTACAAAAACTAAAATAATAATAATAATAAAACATAGCCAGGCATGGTGGCACATGCCTGTAGTCCTAGCTACTCAGGAGGCTGAGGCAGGAGGATCAGTTGAGCTCGGGAGTTCAAGGTTGCAGCAAATTGTGATGACGCTATTGCACTCTGCACAAGCCCAGGCAACAGAGTGAGATTCTGTTTCAAAAAAAGAAAGAAAAAGAGGGAAAAGAAAGAAAAGAAAGGAAGGAAGGAAAGGAGGGAGGGAGGAAGAAAGAGAGAAAGAAAGAAGAAAAGAAGAAAGAGATGGAGAGAGAGAGAGGGAGGAGGACAGAAAGAGAGAAGGACAAAAAATACATTAGGACAGAAGAGAAAGAAAGAGGCGGGCGGGAGAGTGAGAGCAGGAGCGGTGGTGATGAGGTGGAGTCAGAGAGAGACTGGAAGGTGCTATGTAGCTGGCTGTGAAACACGCAAGAGGACCACGAGCTGGGAGAAGCTGAGAAGGGTTGTTATCTTATCGCAGTGGGGGAAATAACTTGTTAAAATCACAAGAGGGCTGAAGAGTTCCTAGCGGAGACAACTACAGAACAGCACGGATCCTGTGAGACTGCTTAATCTCCAGCCCCAGATAAGACAGCCAGGCCCCTAGTACTCTCTCCATCAGAGGAAGGGGAAATGGCACACATTCACAGTGATTCCCATCTCTAAATCTGAAAATCATCGAGCTCCATAGAAGGCTGGTGCTGTGTCCTGGAAGGCCTGGGCTTAGAGCCTCAGGGACCACGGTTGGAAGCCACCTCCACCACTTGGTAGCCAGTGGACCTTGGGCCTATTACTTGACTCTCTGAGCTTCTGTTTCCTCATCTGTCTGAGGAGAGGAAGATTCTTGCCCTCCAGGGTGTTATGAAGATGGAGATGACACATGCCCCCAGCACATAGTAGGTCCAGCCTCCCTGTCCCCCTCCCATGACACCCGTACCTGCAGCCCAGGTTGGCCCAGCACTGGGCACAGTGCCTCCGGGCGATGCGGGCCCTAGGGATCCGGGGACATGGTGAGGCCAGGGGTACCCAGGCCAGCCGCTCCATTTGGGCAGTGGGGAGAAGGGCTGATTCGGCCATGGGCTGGCACCTGGAGGCTCCCAGCCAGCTGCTGTGCTGCCACAGTGGGGCTGACTCAATTGGAAATGAGAGCAGGAAGGGTGCAGAGCCTGGTGGCACACCCAATTCCTAGGCAGGGCCAAATGTCTACCCTCCTTCTCCTGGGGTGGGGCTGGCTCAGCCAGGGCCACCCACATACAGGTGCACACACACACATACGTGTGTACAAACCCGAGTCCACACACCCGCAGCTGGAACCAAAGTGGAAATGGCACCTTTCAGAAACAGGCATAAAACGTTTGCTTCACCACTTTTATTACCTGCAGCCATGCTGATCTCAGAATAAAACCAAAAGAATGAAGAACCTGGCTAACATGCCCGAATAAAGCGGTTGCGACACAAGGGTCTTCACCTGGGCTTCGCCATTCCCTCTGAGGGTTCCTCGTCTGTGAAATGGGGATGGTGCCACTTGCCAGGAGACGGGAAACCTGCAAGCAGGAAGCTGTCAGTGGTGAGAAGAGCAGGCCTTGGGGACAGGGTGGGAGGGAACCACAGGAACAGCGGGAGTGGCAGAGCAGGTGGGGCAAGAGAGCCACTGAATTGGCCTTCGGCTGCACCTGGAGGAGGAGGAGCTGGCTGGGAAAAGGCTGGGGGAGGGGGAAGCTGGGGGCTTTAATTTCTGCATCTGTGAAATGGGATGCATTTGTTCAGTCAACGAAAGTCTATGGCGCTCTCTCTGCAGCCCCCTACGGACAGCTATCTCGCTCGGGAGCTGAGAGCAGACTGTGGGCCTCAGGAAGGCTCCTGACAGAAGCGGCTGATGCTGGGGAGAACAGAGCGCTGAATGGCAGGTTGGGGCAGGGAGTGGGCAGGGTGCACAGGGGCCGTGGTTCCAGGAGCAGGGAAGGGCAAGTGCAGAGAAATAGAAGTGGGCTTTGGGGGATGTGTGAGGGACATTCCTCCCTGCCTCCCTGGCTTTTGTCCTGGTCCCTGCCTGCATCTGTCCTGGACTGTGAGTCCCTTCTGCTCTGAGATCAGGACAGAATGCTGACACGTTCAAGTGGTCTTCCTCCAGATTGCACTGGTCCACACTGCTCTTGGCTAAAGATCTGAGCGTCAGGGAATTTTTGTCTTTACTCTGAAGGTCCCCAGAGTGCTCCTTAAGGAGAGGCCCTGAGTCCATGGGTCACCATAGTCTGGAGCTCTGCTCTGGTCTCTAGGGAGGCAAGAAATGGGGCCCAAGAAACTGGAAATAGTGTTTCCCAGCAGCTGCAGTGCCCATGACTCTGGTCCTAGCCCCAAAAGATGGGAAAGGCCCCACCAGACAAAGGGCCCTCAAAGAAACCCCGAATCTCAGGTGGCCGTCATGGGCTCGAACATGCAGACTGGGGCTATGCAGGTGATCCCCTGACCACCTTCCCCGAGCCTACTCCTGAGGAGACAGGAACCACGCCAAGGAACTAGGGGATCTCCCTGGTGCTGGGGCCCGTATAGACACTGAATTCTCAGCAAAAGTGGGTACAAAATGACTTGGGAGCCATAAAGGGCATTGTGTGGGGAACGTGGTGGGTGATTTATAAGGTTGGATAGATGGATGGATGGATGGATGGATAAATGGAAGGAAGAAAGCATCAAAGTGGGATGAAAATGGGTAGACAGAGGAGGGGTGGATGGAAGACACTGCACAGGAGGAGGACAGAGGAGTGAGTGGGCGGGGGCGGGGGAGCTAGAAGAACGTAGGGCTGTGCTCCACTGTGTGTAGACAGGAGCAGATCAGTGGGCCATCAGGTGAATGGTGGGTAGGTAAACGAGTGAATGAATGAGTAAATGTGTAAATGAGTAAACCACCAGGACTGAGTTAATGAACTTCCAGTCCAGAACTGAAACCTAGCTCTTTGTCACCTCCCTTCGGTGCAGGGAACCTGGCACGAGGGGAAGAAGGCGGGAGAGCAGCCTGCGTCTGGGCTGAGTGAGCCACACTCTTAAGCTTCCTGTGGGAAGAACCACCTCTTGACTTCCTGGAGAGCTTGGAGAAGTGAGTGTTCCAGGCGACATTCCTCAGCCCCCGCTCTGAGCCCTGTCCCGGCCCTGGAGTATCGGCCAGGCAGGTTGGTTGGGGCGCAGTGGAGTGACTCAGACCTGCGCCCTGCAACCTGGCGGCCGGCCAGCACCTGCCTGGGAGCCGGCTGAACCTCTCCCTGTCCCGGAGACTCAGTCTCCGCCCCTCAGATCCAGAAAACCTCCCGGGGCTCCCACCTGCTGGGTGCTCAGCTTCTTTGGCCGGCTTTCTCCCCGCCAAGCAGCTCCCACCCCTCCCTGAGCTGTCCTGAACGCTGCACCCGCAGAGGACAGGGAGGAAGTGCCGGACAATGCCAGGGAGGGACCCAGCCGCAGGCGCTTGTTTCCAGAAGTGTTTATTCGGTGCCAGTCCTGAAACTCGCAGGAAAAGCTCCTCAGTCACAACAAAGCGCGTGTGGAGAAAGTGTGGGTGTAAAAGCACATGTGTGTGTGTGTGTGGAAAAAGTATGTGAGTGTAAGAGTGTGTGTGACAGAGAACGTGCGTGTGTGACTGTGTGTGTGACTCCATACGAAGGTGAGAGTGGAAGTGTGAGTCTGTGTGAGTGCATGTGTGTGTGTAAGAGGATGTCTGCACCTGTGGGGGAGAGCCCTGCCCTAGGGCCTCTCCGGATCTGGGTGGCCAGCTTCTCCCCAGGAGCCTGCTCCTCCTGCCTCCTCCCTGGGGGGCCTGGGAGGTCTCCTGAGAGGCTTCCAGATGTCTGCCTGCAGAGCAAGTGGGTTGGGAGTGCCAGGGAGGCACTGCAGTCGCCAGAGTCCTCTTCCCTCCCTGGACAGTCTCTCCCATCCACTTTGGCCATCACCATGGCCCAGATGAGGCAGGAAAAGCCAAGCTAGAAAGAAAGGGAAGATTGGGTCTGACATGGGCATCAAAGAGTAAGAAAGAGACAGATAAGTGACAGGTGGGAAGGGCCCTAGATAAATAGGACAGGGTTCTTGCACAGCTTGTGAAAGGGACAGGCCCTGGTACCTACTAAGCCCCCAGTGAATGTCACCCACTATAATTACTATTGCTATTATCATGTCACTCCTTCCAGTATGTATGGAGGCCCCGGCGGTGCTGTGAGGCTTTGGATACACCCCTGATCTCGCAGCATGTTAGAAGGTGGTGATGCTTCGGTGAAAGGAAAGCGGAGCAGAGCAAAGGGCATGATGTGTGAGGTGGGGAGGGGGGTCACAATATCAAATAGGGCAGCCAGGGCTCGGCGCCCAAAGCACAGTGGTTACAGCACCGGCCACATACACCAGGGGTGGCAGGTTCAAACCCGGCCCAGGCCAGCTAAACAACAAATACAACTGCAACAAAAAATAGCCTCAGGAGGCTGAGGCAAGAGAATCACTTAAGCCCAAGAGTTGGAGGTTGCTGTGAGCTGTGAAGCCACAGCACTCTATCAAGGGCGACATAGTGAGACTCTGTCTCAAAAAAAATAGGGCAGCCAGGAAAGCTCTGCTGAAAACACGACATTAGAGCAAACACTTGGAGGCGAGGGAGGGCCCCACGCAGAGGTCTGAGGGACCAGCACAGAAAAGGTGAGGTCTCAGAGAATAGGGACCTCTGCTGGGGCTCCTCATGGCAGAGGGGGCTGGTCCTCCAAAAGGACCAAAGCAAGTCTCACGTATGATGAGGCAGAGGTTCTCCAGGATGGCAAGAGGCATAGCTCCAACATGGAGGGGGCAGCTGCCCTCCCACAGAGCAGTTTTGGGCAGCCTCCCTGCAGCTCCCACACCCTGAAAGGGGCTCACCTGGTGGAGCGGGCTCACCTGCAGAGCTGCTCTTCCTCTGGGCTGGGCTGGGCCCCCTTCCAGTGAACCTTGCCTGGGCCTTTGCTCCAGGGCTCCCAATCCAAACACAAACCTGAGTCATTTCCCTCCGAATCTGTGGAGATACAGACCAGGTCTCTTGGGTGGTTACATCCGGTCTCCTACCCTGACCCAGGAGTGCCTGCCCCATCTGCGTACCCACCCCTGCACCATTGTCTGAGGCCAGTGGGCTGAGGCAGAATTATATAGGCCACTGAGACCTCAAGAAGATTCAGGGCCTTCAGCGGTGACCAGAGACCAAGAAAGGTTATCCTGTGATTTGGAAAGTTGCCATATCCAACTACTAGAGAGGAGGACCCTAGCGGTCAGCAAATGACATACTATTTCCATCATGGTCCAAGAGGAGGCACTGAGGAGTGCCAATAGTTCATTCATTAAGAATATCTGAATATGGGCAGCGCCTATGGCTCAGTGGGTAGGGTGCCAGCCCCGTATGCTGGGGGTGGCAGGTTCGAACCCAGCCCCGGCCAAACTGCAACAAAAAATAGCTGGGTGTTGTGGCAGGCACCTGTAGTCCCAGCTACTCAGGAGGCTGAGGCAGGAGAATCGCCAAAGCCCAGGAGTTGGAGGTTGCTGTGAGCTGTGATGCCACAACACTCTACTGAGGGTGAAAAAGTGAGACTCTGTTTCCAAAAAAAAGGAATATCTGGCTCTGTGCCTGTGGCTCAAGCGGCTAAGGTACCAGCCACATATACCTGAGCTAGCAGGTTCAAATCCAGCCCGGGCCCACCAAACAACTACAGCTACAACCAAAAAATAGCTGGGCATTTTAGTGGGCACCTGTAGTCCCAGCTACTTGGGAGGCTGAGGCAGGAGAATCGCTTGAGCCCAGGAGGTGGAGGTTGCTGTGAGCTGTGATGCCACAGCACTCTACCCAGGGCAACAGCTTGAGGCTCTGTCTCAAAAAAAGTATATCTGAGTATATAGATGCAATGATTTTAGCCACAGCACTGTTTTCTGCTGGAACACACACACACACACACACACAAACAGCTGGAAACTGTGTCTATCATGAGAGGTCTGGTTGACTAAAATGTGGCATACTTACTACATGGAGACCTAGTCTTTCCATCCTATAGCTTGTGGTGAAGTTGTTACACTGATTGCATTATATCCATCCATATCTTTTGTGTGTATGAAACAGGGTCTTGCTCTCTTGCCCAGGCTAGAGTGCAGTAGTGTCATTATAGCTCACAGCAACCTCAAACTCCTGGGCTCAAGAGATCCTCTTGCCTCAGCTTCCAAAGTAGCTAAGGTACACAGGACCATGCCCTGCTAATTTTTTTTATTTTAGATAAAGATGGGGTCTGGCTGTGTTGCTCAGGATGGTCTTGAACTCCTGGCCTCAAGCGATCCCATAGCCTCCCAAAGTGCTAGGATTAAAATGTGAGCCACCAGGCACAGTTTCAGGCATCCTCAAACTACAGCCCCCCGGGCCACATGCAGTCAGTCCACTGAGGACACTTATCTGGCCCACTGGGTGTTTTTGCTGCGGCTGCCTGTCCTGCTTAGCAGCCGACTCGTCCTGGAGCCCGCAGTCCGGCCCTCTAATGATCTGAGGGACAGTGAACTGGCCCCCTGCTTAAAAAGTTTGAGGACCCCCTGCCTTTTGAATTTCAGGATACACAGTATATTAGAAGCAAGTTGCAGAGAAATGTAAAAGGTAGAAATCTTTTTAAAAAACAAAACCAGCTGGACACCTGTAATCCTGGCACTCTGGGAAGCCAAGGCAGGTGGATTGCTTGAGCTCAGGAGTTTGAGACCAAGCTGAGCAAGAGAGAGCCTATCTCTACTAAAAATAGAAAATAGTCGGGTATTGTAGTGGTCGCCTGTAGTCCCAGCTACTCGGGAGGCTGAGGCAAGAGGATAGCTCTAACCCAGGAGTTTGAGGTTGCTGTGACCTATGACACCACAGCAGTCTATGTAGGATGACAGAGTGAGACTCTGTCTCAAAAAACATAAACAAACATTGACCCTCCCCTGCCAATATTTTTGAAAACCTACATATTATTAAGCTTGTGCATGAGTTTGCTAATACGGCTTAACTGGGGAAGGCAAGGTGAGAGAAGAAAGTGGATGGAGAAGATTATTTTTCTTACTAAACTCTTGTTTCATTGGTTGCAGAGAAGTAAAGAAGGCTGAATGGAACCCTTGTGTTGCAGAGCAAGAGAAGATCAAAAAGCCTGAGCCTCGACCTCTCCATCTGTGCAATGGGCATAACAACAGCATCTTCTGTGATGAAGGTTAACTGAAGTAAAACAAGGAAAGCTCAACAGGGGGCCCAGGTGTTCAACAATGTCGGCAGTTAGTGTGACTTAAAACCTGAGTTTGCTGCCTTGAAGGGATTGTTCTCCACTAGAGAGCATGATTATTTTTCGAACATATGTGCTAGGTGTTTTTAATTCATTTTCTCTCTTAATCCTTTTAACAAGTTCCCAAAGGCAGTTATTAGTATTTTTCATATTTTACAGATCTCAGAAAGGTGCAGTGACTTGTCTGCTGGGCTCACAGCCAGGGAGTGGTGGTCCTGGACTCAAAGTTGGCCTCCCTGCGCTGCGATTCCATTGGGTGCATTTACTTGGAGGAATTTGAAGGCAGCTTTGAGCATTGTGCTCCAAAGCACAGCGTGAGGGGTCGGCAGGACCTTCAACAGGCACGGCCTGTGATGCCACTCACTGGTTCAGTCCCAAGTCCGTCCCTTTGGAGTTAACCACCTTCCTTCTGCAAACTCCTTTTGAATTGCAAAAGGAAACACTTGCACCAGGATATTTTCTTCTTCTTCTTCTTCTTTTTTTTGAGACAGAGCCTCCAGCTGTCCCCCTGGGTACAGTGCTCCCAGGCTAGAGTGCTGCTGTGGCATCACAGCTCACAGCAACCTCCAACTCCTGGGCTCAAGCAAGTCTCCTGCCTCAGCCTCCCAAGTAGCTGGGACCATGGGTGCCCACCACAACGCCCGGCTATTTTGGTTGCTGCCATCATTGTTGTTTGGTGGGCCCGGGCTGGATTTGAACCCGCCACCTTAGGTGTATGTGGCTGGCACCTTAGCCACTTGAGCCACAGGCGCCGAGCAAGTATCTTCTTCTTGAAGGGCGTGCGTGGCTCCATCCTCTCTCCCCATGTCACAGCCAGTGTAGCACTGGTCCCACTGGCCAGCTTCCCAGTTGAGTGACCCTTTATCTCTCTTTGCCTGGGCGCCAGTCTCAGCCAGTTTCAGCAGGCAGCTCCTTTCTCCTCCCCACCTGCTCCTTCTTTACTTGGGAGAGTGCATCCTGTCGGGCACCCCATGGTCAACACTCTTCCTTCCAGATCCCAAAATGGCACTGCTGGGCCAGGTCAGGGTAGACAGGGAGGAAGGAAGAGGAGGTGACAGAGCTACTCCTGCCAGCTTTTCATACTGAATTCCAGGCCAAACTGATTCCAGTCAAGGGATCCAGCGCAGAATGGAAAACCACCAGCCTGCGTTTCCAGAGCCCCCAGGGCCTCAAACCCTGGCAGGCCAGACCCTGGGTTTGGGTCAGTTCCCAGCCCAAGGGCAAAATTCACACAGTAATTCTGAGCGTTCTAAGAACACAGGGACCCTGGGGAGGGTGGTACACCCCACTTTCAGAACAGTTTCTCCTAATTACAAGATTAACAAGGAACTTATTTCAAAATGCCACACGACATGCCAGTGAGTAAACAGCCTCTCAGGAGAAAGTCTGAGGAAGGGTCAGAGTGGGGTCAGAGTGGGTCTAGAGCAGGGCCTCCAAGGGGGATGAAGGGAGGCCAGTGCTCAGGCCTTGGCCTGGGTGGTGGGTAAATTGTCCCTCTGCGCTGGAGAAGCCATGTAAAGTCATTCCTGCTTCCTCCCACACTGACATCATCTACATTGGCTGGGTTATTTTCTCAGCCTGCAGACACCTGCCGTGCTGTGTGTGTGCAAGGGTGGTGTGCCCTGCCCTGTAGGCACCTGATGTGCATGGACCCCACAGAGGCTCTGCTGCAACCCCAAAGATATTAGTATCTCCATTTCTTAGGTGAGAAAACTAAGGCTCAGAGAGGATGTGCCCAAAGCCACACAGCTGGCGGGTGGAAGAGCCGGGAGATAGAGGCAGACAACAGGCTCTCAGAAGGACTTCATTGGTGTATTTCTTCTCCAAGCCTCAGTTTCCTCGATTGTAGTGTAAGAATTACTTTACCGGGTTATTTCCAGGACCGTATGAGTTGCAGACGTGCAAACCTACCATTTTGCAGTCAAACTTAGGGACTCACTTGTGAACTCTAGGTTCAGAAACCCTAAGATAAGGCACGTGAAGTGTTTAGTACAAGACTGTGCATAGTTTTCAAAATAGGTTAGCTGCTATTATGATCTACTAAGAGGCAAGGCTGAGATGGGAACCAAGTCTTCCCGAGCCCAGAACGACCTTTATAGCCAGTATACAAACAAGTCTTTTGAGTCCCACCAGCTGTGGGGCCCAGTGCCAGAATTGTGCCCCTCAGGAAGGGCTGTGGTCCACCCTGGAAATATGAGGAAAACATTCTTGAAACATTTTCTGGAAACAAGAGGACTTCTTAGACTCATGCCAGGAGCTCCCAATCATTACACAAATACCAGCCCTTACATTTGAGACCTTGGGGCCAGTGGGGGTGGAGGACTGCTCACCCTGCCTCCTCGGCGACATCTGACTAGACTTGGCTGCGCACTCAGCACTCTCCCTGCCTATCTGGCCAAAGATCACGGGGCAGAGGAGCAGGAGGTGGGAGGTTAAAGGGGCCCCAGGAAGAGGGCTCTCATGGGAAGGGACACCAGAGGAACAGAACAATCACTCCTGCCATGTGGCCAGACCGTAACCTGGCCCACCTGCCCCCAACTGCCCTCAGGGCCAGTTTTGCCCTGCCTCTTTGCTCCTGATGACAAGCGGAGGTCAGGAGGAATGTCAGTGGCTTACATGATCCCATGTCTCAGAGAAGCCAGATCCTCTCTGATGTGTTATGGTCCAGAAACAGTACGGTCTCTGGGTACCTGAAAAACACCTAAGGTTGCTCTATTCCATTGCCCATGTTGTTCCCTACACAAAAGCACCCAGCCGAGAGAGTGAGCAGGGCTGAAATCCAACCCAGGATCTGTTCATGAAGTTGCAGACGCAGGAAGGGGCATTTTTTCTAATTCATCTGCCTAAAAGGGCCACCTCTTTCCATTCTATATAAAAGATCGTATGTGTTGCAGACGTGCAAACATACCATTTTGCAGTCAACCTTAGGGACTCGCTCTTGAATTCTAGATTAAGAAACCCTAAATAAGCCGGGGGTGGTGGCTCACACCTGTAATTCTAGCACTCTGGGAAGACAAGGCAATCTCCTTTGAGGTCAGGAGTTTGAGACAAGCCTGATCAAGAGTGAGACCCCATATCTACTAAAAATAGAAAAATTCACCAGGTGTTGTGGTGGGCACCTGTAGTCTCAGCTACTTGGGAAGCTGAGGCAGGAGGATAGCTTGAACTTAAGAGTTTAAAGTTATAGTAAGCTATAAGGATGAGACCGCACTGTAGCTGGGGTGACAAAGTTAGGCAGGTCTTAAAAAAAATAAAGGGCCGGGCATGATGGCTCAGCCTGTAATCCCAGCACTTGGGAGGTCAAGACAGGTGGATTGCCTGAGTTTACAGGTTCGAGACCAGCCTGAGCCAGAGCGAGATGTCATCTCTAAAAACATCCAGGAGTTGTGGCAGGTGCCTGTAGTCCCACCTACTTGGGAGGCTGAGGCAAGAGAATTGCTTGAGCCCAAGAGCCTGAGGTTGCTGTGAGCTATGATGCCACAGCACTACCAAGGGTGACAAGGTGAGACTCTGTCCCAAAAAACAAACAAAAAAACCAAACCGGGCGGCGCCTGTGGCTCAAAGGAGTAAGGCGCTGGCCCCATATGCCAGAGGTGGTGGGTTCAAACCCAGCCCTGGCCAAAAACTGCAAAAACAAAAACAAAAACAAACAAACAAACAAAAAACCAAACCAGAAAGGGAAGAAATCCTAAACAACCAACCCCATCATTTTCCCTTAACAGCAGTTCTAAACCTGTGGGTGGTGACCCCTTTATAACAATGAAAATACATCCTGCTTATCAGATATTTACATTACGATTCATAATAGTAGCAAAATTATAGTTATGAAGTAGCAACGAAAATAATTTTATGGTTGGGGGTTGCCACAACATGAGGAACTGTATTAAAGGGTCACGGCGTTAGGAAGGTTGAGAGGCAGGCCTGAGTTTAAATGCTGCCTCAGCAGCTATTCGGTTCACTTTCCCGAGCCTCTTTCTTCTAAGATAAAAATAATTCTGTCAGGCTAAAGAGGTCCCTGTTTAAATCTGAGCCAGCATTTAAAATACTCTGAACAAAACCCCCCTTTCTACAATTTATTCAGGACACCGAGCATACAGAGACCCCACTCAGCTCAAGGGTTAGGGCCCAGCTTGAACAGGTAAGCTCACCTTGCTTAAGTAAGAAGCGTAGCCAGATGATCAGCAAGGATAACAGCAAACCCACAGGGAGGCACAGCCAGGAAACCAGGAAAGAAAAGGTGAGGTCGTTTACCAGCGGCACCAAAGGGTACTTCATGGTGCACGCGTGGCTAAGCCAGGCCAGCCTGCACCAGGGCAGCAGAGCTGCCCCTAAGGACCTCATAGGCTGGGCCATGCTGTGCTCTCAGCCCAATTGTGACTGAGCTGTGACGCAACAAGAAAGTCACACAGTGTCTTTCTGGCAAAGCCTGCAGGGGAGACCTTGAGGGACAGCTGTGTGTTTGGACGACTGAGTGAGAAGCAGGTAGTGAGACAAGTTTGGCTGAGAATAAAGACCTTAGGCTTCCAGGCAGGCAGGCCTGAGTTTAAATACCGCCTCAGCAGCTATTAGGTTCACTTTCCCGACCCTCTTTCTTCTAAGATAAAAATAATTCTGTCAGGTAGAAAAATAGATGGGGCCAGGCATGGTGGCTCACGTCCGTAATCCTAGCACTCTGGGAGACTGAGGCAGGAGGACTGCTTGAGCTCAGGAGTTCAAGACCAGGGTGCCACCTGTTGCTCAGGGGGTAGGGCGTTGGCCCCATATATTGAGGGTGGTGGGTTCAAACCCAGCCCTGGCCAAACTGCAACAAAAAATAGACGGGCGTTGTAGCAGGCAGCTGTAGTCCCAGCTACTCTGGAGGCTGAGGCAAGAGGATCACCTAAGTTCAAGAGTTGGAGGTTGCTGTGAGCTGTGACGCCACAGTACTCTACTGAGGGCAACATAGGGAGACTCTGTCTCAAAAAAGACCAGCCTGAGCCAGAGAGATCCCATCTCTACTAAAAACAGAAAAATCAGCTATTTGGGAAGCTGAGGCAGGATCACTTAAGCCCAGGAGTTTGAGGTTGCTGTGAGCTACGCTGATGCCATGGCATTCTAGCCTGGGCAGCAGAGTGTGAGACTCTGTGTCAAAAAAAAAAAAGAAAGACGTTCCCATCTGGAAGCTTCTGTACCTCTCCTTATTCGCGGTTTCAGTGACAGACTTATAAAGGTGAAGCTTGTTCCTTTTTCTTAGTGGGCAGAACATCCCAATGCCATTCTTATCTTCTCCCACCTCATCTCTGTCTTCACTCACTCGCTAAGACTTTAGTAAACCTTCACAACAGGAAAGAAGCTCTGGGCCTCCTAGAGCCCAACAGCCCCTAAGCTGGGGGGAAGGACTCAGGCCAGTCTGGGGGTCTGATAGATGCTGGGAGCCCACTCCTTGGTCATCTGCCTCAGTTGCCACCAGCAGGTGGGTGCGGCTGGAAGGTTATTATTAAACATGACAATCCCTAGACCCCCGATCTACTCGGTTAGACCTGTGGGGGGCCTTAACACACTGATGAGCAACCAGGGTGATTCTGATGCAGACTTTTTTTGAAGACCACAGCATCTCGGAGGGAGGGCATTTGGCGGGATCTCACCTAATGTGCACAATGCAAGGGTATTCAGTACACCCCTTGGGCAAAGGGCTCTTCTACAACTTGAACTTCACCTTGGGAGAGAACATTGTAACCTAAAAGTTTGTACCCTGATGTTAATTTGAAAGAAAAATTAAAAAAAAAAAAAGACCACGGCATCTCATGGTTGAAGAGCACCAGCTGAAAAGTCAGGCAGACCCAGTTAGTGAGGGTAGACCCTAGGAGAGACACAGAGGAGAAGGAAGGTACCAGTCATGGGAGAAAGGCCCAGCCATAGAAACAGAGTTTTGAGGGCATACTGGCCCAAATGTGGGGCACCAGTGTGCTCATAAGAGGTCTGGGGAAAAGATATTAACATGTGCATCCAGGAAAACCCAGACACAGGGCACAGGGGCACGAAAGGTGTGCCAGATGCAGGGCACAGGGGCACATCAGGAGTGGGGGGCGGGGCTGGGGCTGACTTCTTGACTTTGGGTCCTGAAGGGGTGGGGTCGGAGCAGACAGAGCGTTACAGGTGAGAAAGATTGGAACACACGCTTTCTGGCTATGGACTCTTTCCAGGCACCAAACAGAGCCCCTGTGCAGTCAGCTTCCCTCAGCAGCAGTCCCCGCTGGAGGTGCCATGGAGAGCAGGCAGGGCAGGCAAGGACACACTGCGTGGTGCTGCATCTGTGCCAGGACAGAGGGCAGCTCTGGGGAGAGGCTGTACCATGGTGGTTCTCATGGGTTTCCCCAAGTGGTCCACTCACCCCACCATGTGCTATAAGCATTTAGGCACTCATCTGGCCCTGTGGGACCCTCTGCAACCAACTCTACGGAAGGGGCAGTGGGAGCGGGGGTGACTTCCTCTGTCTGCCCAGCCCTGGCAGGGCTCAGATTTTCTGCAGGCAGGGTATGGTAGCACTTCCTTGTTCCCAGGACAGAGAACCATCCATCCTCTCAGCAATTCCCAGCTCCCAGGTGACCCTCTGTTTGAAACCGACCGACCGGCAGAGATTTCACAGACTGCCAAGGCTTGTACGAAAGGTCTTTATTGGTGGGGGAGGGAGGCTGCAAAGCAGCACCAAGGAGGAGAGAAAGAGAGAAGAGGACAGAGAGGGAGGGCAGAGAAGAGAAAGGGGAAGAGAGAGAGGAGAAACGTACCCTTACATAGGGAAGTCTCAGAATGGTGACGGGATGGTGGGATAACCAGTAAGGAGTTATTGCTTGGGGGCGGGGGGAGCCGTTGGGGGGGGCAGTGGGTAATTGGAACAGGGTGATGAGGTAAGCAGGCCATTCCCAGTGCTTGGGAAGGAATTGTAACTTTAATAGCAGGAAGGGGACTTTCTGAGGCAATTATCTGACACTGTTGGCAGTCTTTTCATTATACAAACTCCTTCCAACATAGAAGGCCAAAAACTTTCTTTTAAAATTAAGTGAATTTTGAGTATTTCATGAAGCTCTATAAAACCAGGGTGAAAGGCTACAGATCTAAATTCTGGAGGGTCGCCAAAGCCAAGCAGACACCCCACGGAAAGGGTAAATTAAGAGCACCACACAGAAGACAAGCCCCAGCCTGTAACCAAAAGCACACACCAAGTTATTAGATAAGAATCTCCTTAAAATTTAATTGACTAAATGTATTACATTCAATATTCCATGGGTTTCTTCTGGGCAAAGGATTGGCATAAATACAAACAAACCTCTGGGCCTTCTTCCCTGACCAACGGAGATAAAACACAGGAGGCAAGGGGACACGGGCACACCTTCGTATTTACACGTCGCCTTTACTTTACAGTTCAGTGCCAGAAATATTTACAGAAAATACATAAGAAAAGGATCATGTCTTGGCAACATACTGAAATTCATACAAATTGTATATATGATTTCAAGCAAATAATGATACTGCTTATTTTTAGCCACAACTGCCAAGCCCTTCAGAGGAGAAAGATGTCTTGGTCACTGCAAGAGTTGAGGACTTGGGAAACTTGGTTTGTTTCAACAAGTATTTATTGGGCGCCTACTATATGCAAGGCACTGTGGAATCCCAAATTACACCTTTTCCCTCTCCATTAAAAAAAGAAAAGTATCTAAAGAACATGAGCTGATATTCTGAGAAAAACACCATAGAGGACATGGCTTCTTTAGCTACTGAGAAACCCACTGTTTGATTCCACACTGGATGGATGGATCACCTCCAATCTCTTCATCTCAGGAAGATGCTGTCTTGGAAATCCTTAAAACAGATCATCTGACTCCAATGATCATTTCACATAAACACATAAATCAATTCTTTTTAGGAAGATAAAACCTGAACGAATTTTTAAACGCTGAATGGAGAAATACTGGCAGCAGGAGTGTCAAATTACCTCCAATATGCTTCTTACCATATACCACAAAACATGTTTCTTTCAACTAGGTGGACTCCTACTTTGGGTAAAATTCCACCTTCCAAAAGAAATACATATTCTTAAAGACCCTGCTTCTCTAAAATTTAATCTGCAAAGCTTGATAAATGCTTCCCCAGCATTATGTAGAAAGTAACCATTTGTGAAGGCTTCTTTCATATAACCTGTAGGCAACTGACATTACTGGCCAAAGGTTTAGGTATTGTGTATTTACATATGAGTCTAGAGAATGGGCTGCCCTGAAATACAGGACCTGGAAATGGAGGAAAATGGCACACACGTGTGTATGTGTGTGTGTGGGGGGGGTGAGAGGGCAGAGGAGGTAATTATTCCTTTTTAATGGCTACTGGACAGGAGGGGGTCTTAGAAAGAAGCCCTGGACAAAAGGTAGAGCCAGCTACATACAAGGAAAGAATTACAAAGATAAAAGCCCTTCCCACTGTCCTTAATGCTCCCCAACCACAGAGGAGAAAAGGTCCCTCCTCCAAACTTCAGAAGGGAGTAGAAGGTGACCTGCTTCTGTCTCTTAGGGAACATTTTCCATTTCCTCTTCACAGAATGCCACACTCATCCACCCGCTGGGGTACCTGGTACAAACGTACAACTGAACTGGTTAAGTCACAGACAAAAGTGGCTCTGGCTTCCCCCCAAAGGTTTTGAACATGTGGTAAATTTATCAAGTGGGCTACTAAATACTATTACTAGGTACTAAATATGTTCCTCCAGCATTATTCTACTCAGAGTGATTTCTAACACAGGCAGTTGGGTGAATTTAGTGACCATGAACTCAAACCCAAACTAGTAAAAGGTCCAAAGTTTTTTACCATGCTCCCTTTTGGGGCAGATGTTATTTTGAGCAGAAGGAACAGCACCTGGCAAGGTATATGTAATCCATATTCCACTAGCTCTGCCCACACTAGGGGTTTTGTGCCTTCAGGAGCTGCACATTCCCCCTTCCCTGCAAGACCACAAAGTCTCCCAGATCACAAACTGCATTCAGTGTGGTTGTTCACTTATCAAAGTCCTCAGAATTACAAAGAGTTTCCAGAAATTACGGCTAACTGAAGGAAGCCCACTCCCAACACTCATCCTGTACATTTTTCTGACATTAAAACTATGTTAAAGGTAAAGTTTTACCTGGAGTCCCACTGAGGAAGTACATCTAATTCAGTTATTTTTAACCTCTGGAATGGTGTAAGTTGCATATGACTTTATAGCCTTTGTTCACTCCAACTAGAACAAGGACCCATTTTCCTCTTGAAATGTCAATCTGAATTACCTTGAAAATGTTTAAACCTCACCTTATTCCTGCTGAGCTATTAACACAGTTTCAGGGAAGAATTTGCTCATCTTTATCACACATCCCCCTCCCCCATGCTTCCATCTGGAAATATCAATTTATTGCCCAGCTTAAAAAGAAAATCAATTATTGAATAATATCATACCCTGAATGGAAATTTGAGTCATCGAAGGAGGTGGTTATCTTTACCTGAGCTTAACACAAACATGAAGAAAAGGGTATGGCAAACTTAAAACCAAAAGCTGCTGTGCTCACATTTCTTGCTCATAGATGGCAAAAGATATACTTCTGGAGTAGAGTTATCTGCACAGGGAATTAGGTCCTATACTATCCCCGGTCCTGTAAGTAGACTACCAAAGCATCAAATCAAACATTGTAGCCCTGTCCTACAGAATTTACTGACATCATTGTTCAAGTGGGAAAACAACCCTTATACCTGTGATCACTCCTCCTGTTTTCATTATGAAAACAACCCATACAACTAGGATCATTCCTCTTTGGACTTCAAGTCACTTATTTTCTTAACACAAAATAATCTTACTAAAGAACAAAGCACATAAGAACAGGAGAAACAAGCGGTGTATACTGCAGCACTGTAACAGGAATCCTTATAAAGATGTTCTGGGTCCTGGCCACCTCAAAAAGTTTTATCCCTGGCAGAAAAGTAGCAGCGAGGTAACAGAAGTATTTCCAAAACCCTGGGTGGGATTTGTTGTGTCTTCAGCTGGCAAGGTCCAAAAAAACATGACAACAGCCATTTCTAACAGTAGCCACCCAAGGAGGTGGTCACTAATAGTTGATGAAACATTATGAATGAAATCCAGTAAGCTCTCTGGGAGAGATCTGAATTCATAATGTTGAGAGGCTACTTCCTGAACCCCAAATTAGAATCCTTCATAAACTATTGCAGTTTGCTGCTTGGTCCTGAAATAAGAGACAGTAGATGAAACCAAATCATTTTCAACCCCTATTGTGAATTTACACTTCTTGATATTCAATCAATGAATCATAAATGTTTAACCCGTCATTATGTCACCAAACTGGACAATAATGGAGAGAGTGGAAGTGTCACTACTGTCTTACAACTTCTAACCCCACAAGCTTCACCTGCACCCCCATTAGAACAAGACCATGCCTCCATGTTAATGTTCCCGGGTTGCCCAGAAACTGAGGCCTCACACAGACCTGTGCAGTGAGGAGAATGACTACTTTTTGAAGTGTGGAGAAAAAATATGAAATATTTTAATGTCAGACTTCTTATCTGAGCAAAAAAAACATGTATGTTCTTTTCTTTTGGCCAGTTTGACAGCTGGATGACTTGGACCTACACGTGAGCAGAAGGTTGAGACTTTGTTCCTTATCCTTCATGCTATCAACGCGACTCTTTAAATGTCCTGAAAGATTCTGAGTCGAATTTTAATTCTGAATACAACCTCCTAAAAAGTGAGGTATAAAACTATCTTCAACTTCTAATTTGCAAATTTGTTGATACTACCAATGCATGTGTTTAACTGAGATGCATAAAAGCCTTTCTCCTCAAAAGGCTTATATTTAACTAAAACTGTCACTTTTAAAATAAAGTTTATGGCTAAAATGTATTATTGTCATTACTGGCAGGAATATGATTGTGTCTGGGAGCCCATTTCACTAGAAAGTCAAAAGTCTTCTATCAAATGGGTTTATAATGTGTTTCTTTCTTCTATTCTGGTGATTAAACAGTAAGCTCTGGGGAGTGATTTGTTTTTATTTTTACAGTGATCACCTATCAAACTGTTTTGCTTTGATACTATAGTCCCCAAAACTGGAGTTCCATAGTCCAAGACCAACAGTGGCCTAAGAACTGCAGTTCTTGAGTCCGACCTCCTGGAAAAGTGAAGTATAAAACTCTGGCTCTAACTGCTTGTTCCGATACTTGTTGACAATGTCGGTGATCTTCTGTTTCCGGCGGACATGTGGTGGACTGTAGGAGTCACTCTCCAGTCTCTTTCTTCTACAAATGTTAATTACAGTCTGCCTCACCAGAAAGCCTTGAAAACAGACAGTTTTAAAATAAATGTTAACCATCAGTCAGTTAAGTGAACTATCAGTATTCAGGTGAACTATTCTCAGCATACTTAAACTCCTTCATTCAATTTGCATAATTCCCCATCTCCAGAGAGGGAAGAGACACAGCACTAAGATAAAACTGTCAGAAGAAACACACACTGACAAGGAAAAAGACAACCCAAATCTAGTCTGACAATCCATTTCCTGCCCTGGATTATAAACAGCTAATACTAAGAGTTTAACAAGTTCTACTTGTACTTACTAGATTAGGGTAGTTTAAAACAGAACAAAATACGCTCCCTTTTTAACAAGAGCCATAGCATTTTCTACATGTAGAACTTATTGAATAACATCACAATTTCTTTTACTTCTTTTTGGGTTTATAAAATGTTAAAGAAGAGGAAAAAACCTTTAACCCTTCATCACACATGAAGACCTTACCAAGAGCACGTCTGCTGACTATCATCCCATCCACAAGAGGGATGACCATGTTAAATTTTCCAGTGGCTCCTTGAATTTTTATCCGGAATAATCCAGTATTTAAAGGGTGGATGAATATAACAGGAACTTCTTTTTCAAGAGTCGTAGATCTTAAGAAAAGAAAACTTTTTTTATACCAGACACACTAGAGTCAAAGTTCCCCATACGCAGTATAACCATACCCAGGGGGCCTACTGCCAGGCAGTGGTTTGAGAAAAGTGAAGGGGTCAGGCTGCTCAGAATCTTCTTTCTGAAAAACTACCATGTCGCTGCTGACTGTCACACTTGGCTGCCTCTTGTAACACTAATAACGCCCATTATTGGGGTCAGGTTTTCTAAGCTAACAAAAAGAGGGTGAAAAAACATGCTTAGAAAACCACTGGGGAAACAGGGTAAAAGGAAAGGCCAGAAAACTGTATTGTGGGGAACTAAGAATCTAGGAACCCATTACGGAGCTTTCTCTTAGTTCCCTCTTACAGGGGACAAAAGTGTTTCTGATAATGAGAGTACAGGAAATTCTAGTAGAGTCAAGGCTGGTATCTTGGAGCAAGAATACAATTTAGGCCCATTATAGGAATCCCTGCTAATTTTTTTTCAAAAGTGGGAGAAGGCAGTTATATGGGCTGTTAGTCTGAGCCAGCTGTAAGTGCCCTCCTCAGTGGGGGTGATAAAGTGCCACATCTATATGCTAAGGTCAGCAACTGCACTATGGAAGAGTGAGTTACACATCACATGCCAGGGACAGGCAACCCATCTAGAGGTGCTTGTGTTACTGCGATGCTACATGTTGGCGGTGGGAGGGTGTTTCTGCAATACAGTGAGCTTTCTTTCTATATAAGTAATACTAGCCAAAGCAACACTGAGTTAATCTTTCAAGACATTTAAAAAAAGAAATCGATCCTGGAATAATCCTAAAACAAATTCTAAATTTTATAAAACTACAAATAAAATATTAATTTTACAGTTGAATTGTATTACAACCTGTGACCTAAAAAACACTAAAACAATAGCAAAACAGTCTACAATAGGTAAAGTTCTCGTCCAAACTAGTTTTAGAAAAGTCAATTTCATGACCATTGTTCTATAATCTCTCTAGTGAGTCAGTATCATGAAGAAAAAAGAAAAAAAAAAAAAAAGACTACTCTGTATTAAGAGAGGCTGGAGGAATTAATACCAGATGCATGGTCCTGGAGTGAATTCTGGTTTGAACAAACCAATTGTAAAAGGTATTTTAGGGAAAATGAAGAAACTTTAATATGTTTATTACTGTGATAATTTATCTTTAGTTGTCTGAAAAGTGTTCTTACTTTTTAGAGATGCATACTGAGGTATTTAGAATGTCAAGATATATAATTTATTTTAAAATATTTCAGCATAAAAAAGCAAAAGTTTTAAGAATGACTTGCCTCTTCTAGAAACTTCTTAAAAATAGCAATGTTAAAATTAACCATTTTTGCAATATTTCAACAATAATAATGCTAGAATAAGTACATCTTATAAACAATTAGAATCAGATTATGTAATTATAAGGAACTTCAAGTTAAAATACTAATTTTTGAGGGTAGCTGCATGATACAAGGGATGAGGGTAGCATTTGAAGTCAAAGGCCTGGGTTCAGAAAGCTTTGCCCTGCATTTACCAGATGTGTGATACTGAGGAATAATCTCCACGAGCCTATTTTATCCCACTGGTAAACCAGGGATGTTAACAGTAACTCCTGCAGTTATAACCCAAACACAAGGCAGCAAGAGGCCTTGAACTCTATAAAACCTAAACAGAGTACATTGTGACTATTCTTAGAATCAGATTATTCTTTTACCCTTCTTGTATACGGGCAGGTAAAATAGGAATTTTAACATGATTAATAAAGTTAGTATTACATTTTCCTTAGAAATCTTTTTCCATTAAATAACTCATATGACCAGGATATTTTAACTATTATTTAACCAGTTTGTTTTCATCAGTGTAACTCTATCATTTCTACCTGGCAATTGCTACCCAATTGCCATGGTATTCATTAGTACTTAATTGCCTCTACTTCTCCATTTTTCGTTTTGCCATAGATAAATGTAAAATAGCAATTACTTATACTATTTAAAAATCCTAACTAAGGTGCTTGACATCACTAATCATCAGGGAAATGCAAATCAAAACCATAATAAGGTATCACCTCATACCAGTTAGGAGGGCCATTTAAAAAAAAAAAAAAATCACAAGTGTTGGTGAGAATGTGGAGAAAAGGGCACCCTGTATACTGTTGGTATGAATATAAACGGGTACAGCCATTATGGAAAACAGTATGGCAGTTTCACAAAAAATTAAAAATAAAACTAACATGTGATCCAGTAGTTCAACTTCAGGGTATATATCCAGAGGAATTAATCAGGATCTCAAAGAGATCTCAGCACTCCCATTTTACTACAGCATTACTCACAACAGCCAAGACATGGAAGCAACCAAAATATCCATTGACAGTTAAATGGGTAAAGAAAATGTGGCCTGTACATACAGTGGAGTATTATTCAGCCTTAAAGAACAAGGAAATCCTGCCATCTGTGACTATGTGTGAACTTAGAGGACATTATGCTAAGTGAAAAAAGTCGGGCACAAAAAGACAGATTCAACATGATACCACTTATACGATGAATCTAAAACAATCAAACTCACAGAAGCAGAGGACAGAATGGTAGTTGCCAGGGGCCGGAGGGAGAGGAAATGGGGTATGAGTTAGAAAGTACAAAGTTTCAGTTATGCAAAATGAGTAAGTCCTAGAGATCAACTGTACAGCATAATGGCTACAGTTAGTAACACTGCATGTACACTGTACTTAAAAATTTACTATGAGGGTAGGTCATATGGTAAGTGTTCTTATCAAAAAATTCTAACATTAATAAAAAGTGGGCAAGGGAGAACTTTTAGAGGTGATGGATTTATTTATGGCCTAGATTGTGGTGATGGTTTCACAAGTATACATCAAATATGCACAGCTTTTTGTATGTCAGTCCTACCTCAACAGAATGGGTTAAAAAAAATCCTTGTTAATTTGATAACCTTGTGCATTTATGCATAAACTTCTTTCTTTGATTCTTTTTCTCTATTTTTATTTCTTATGCCTACAACCCTTTTTTTTTTTTTTTTTTTTT